GCAGGAGTCACCTATGTGGTCAAGGTGGGTACCGGCGCGGGCCGCCCCGGCGGGGGTCCTGGGGCTGGGCTGCAGGGGGCGGCGGGGGCGAGGTGGCACCTTCCCTGAAGTCCCGGGGCGAGGGTACCCGCGACTGTCACGCACTCCTTAGCAGTCAGCTCGCTTGGTAGCGGGTGAGCAGTGAACTACAAATGTGCCTTTCTGCATCCATGGGGATGAGGTTGAACAATCGCGCGACCTCGCTCTGTCCAGCCTTCCCCGGTCCGCCCCCCGTTTGGCGTGCTTTTGCCACCTGGCTTCACCAGATCTCCAGCCACTGACCCTTCGCCACCAGCACCTGTCTGTGGATGCTGGGGTCCAGCCTACTTTGTGTTTATGAAGCACTTGTGAGATTGGGCAGCCCCCTCCGGGGATGAGCGTGTCACTCCTGCTGCCCCGTCCTCCTCCTCTGCATGGGGTGGGGGTGGGGGTGGGGCTGGCCATTTCTTACCCCCCACAGCAAGAATCCCCAGCTCCTGGCTGGGTAGGCCAGAGGCTGACTTGCTTTGTCAAAGACGAGTTCTACTTACTTTTCGCCCAGCAAGCTTTTTCTTTGGCGTTTGTCTTTCATCTCCCACCAGATGCTACGGGTTACAGCAGAGAAAGGAGTACTTGGGACTATTTTCCCCGTGACTGCAGTCTTCCATTTAAATGAGCTCCAAGGGCAAGAGAGTTGCCACGCCTGGAGCCACAGGCTGGAGAGGGATTTTTCTACCAACACAAAGAATTACAAAGTCACGATGTAGTTAATAAAATTCCCCCTCTATGCAAGAGTGTTGTGGCATTTAAGGAGGAAATGCTCTACGCAGTTCAATTGACCTGCCAAATACTTCCCCCTGGCCGTCAGGCTGCTGCCAGTTATAGTGTTGGCAGCTTCACAGACTTCCCCTAGTCAAGGTGGGGGGACCCGAACGGCATTATTACAGTCCTGCTGTTTCTTTATGGAAAAAGAAAGGACACACAAACACTACCCTTCTTGTGTTAGTAACAGGAGAGAACCCTGCAGGGTGTCTGGTCTGTAAGGGCTGGCTGCAGATCCAGTTCAAAAATCCAGCAGAACACGTCTTCAGGTAGGACGTAGTGTCTGCAATTTTGGAACCAGGCTTTGAAAACAAAAACAGCAGATAACTTCGTGGGTTATCTTTAACTACATAAAAATACTTACAAATAACATGACCATTGGTGTTAAAATAAGGCCTTTCACCCTTCTGAGCCTGCATTTTAAGTTGACTTGCTTCTTACCTTCTGAATATGGATTATTATATTTTAAAGAAAAGGACATAAGATACACAAGAAGGTTGAGTTTTATCTTAAAGGAAAATGCATAGTCTCACATTGCTTATTTAAATTATCTATCTAGGGGCCAAAAAAAACCAAAAAACAAAAAAACCAAAAAAAACCCTGACAACTAGGGAGGTTAAACTGTGACACTAACCTACATTAATTATTTCTAGAGTGTTAATATAATTGCTTTTTTAAAAGCCTCCCTTAAAATACACAAATCGATCTTGGCAAAGCTTTTTATGTGTCACCCAAAACACAGAGTGTAGTTTTCAAATTGAGGGGCATTTCTCAAACTTATATCTTTAAAGTTTTCCTTAAAACCCAGGGCTTTGCTTTTCCTTCAGCATGAAGGCAGACATCCAATTCTAAAGGTCAAATGTGGCAAAATAATGATGATCATACTAAAACAAGTCTGTTCTGCTGGGACGTTCTGTGGATACAAGGCTCTGTGAATTACCCAGCCTCGCAGTGGTATTCCAGGGGCCAGAGGGCTGGTTGATAGGCATGGAGCCTGAGTTTCTGGTGCTGCAGAGACCCAGGGTCCACAGAACAGGACTGATTAGTGCATGTACTGTGGTTAGTTTTACCCCATTAATGGGCAGCTGTGAACAGTGGTGTCTGTGTATATAAACTCACACACTGTCCCTGCTCTCCTGGACAAGTTCAGAATCATGCAGAAAGGAAATTGGTTGCTAAGTACGATTTCATTTCTCATGTGCACATTTGATTCAAATAATCACATGGGCTTATTTTATAGAGAAATTATGATGCTGTAAAAATTCCCCTTACTTTGGTATTATTCACCGATTCATGGATAGTTTTCTCTACGTCTTTAAAAGGTTCCAAAACAGAAATGGGCAATTTTAATCATACAACTCAACATTAATTATAAAACATAAAGGTTTAGAGTGTGGGAAGGGACTAATTATTCTCTTTGATGTGATTTTTTTAAAATTAGAGAAGGCCACAGGTGGCTTCCAGTTTTCTGAAAATTCATGTACTGAATCATTTTAGACTTTTCCCCTCTCATAGAAATACCCATGGACATGTAGTATGGGGCTATTGCACACATGAATTATAATTCACAGATATTTCAATTTAATCTACATACATTAGAGGGCGAGAATAAAATGCGAAGACTGGTAGGTTTTGATCATCTAGGAAACATCAACCATTTCAGCAGCAGCTAGTAAGAAACCTTCATTAATGAAGGATTGAGAATTTAAAACTGGAAAAAAAAATTCCTGAGCAACACTAAAATTCAAAGATCATGGTAGGTTTAATCGGTCCTTCCTGCCACCACTGGGCTTACTGTTAAATAACAGGAGCACACCAATTTATGTACCCCAAGAGGGCTCACAGTTTATATTTTTGCCTTGCAGGCCTTGCTGACAACACCTTCTTATTCCTCTTAGTACACTTATTGGTAACACAAAAGACAAAGGACAAGAAAATATGCCCTTGATAGAAAAAGGAAAACCCTATAGGAGAGAACAAAGGCTATTTTCATTCAATTTCTACTTAAAAGCTATTTTACATTTGAACCTAAAAGGCCAATAGTAATACAAATGGATATTAATTTTAGTGCTGCCCATCTTTAAATTCTGTTGTCTGACAGTGGAAGCCAGCTGTGACCCAATGCTTTACAGCTGTTGTTGGTCCTTAGCAAGTTCAAAGGCAACATGCTGGTTTTCCAACTTCTCCTTCCTCTGGTCTGCCTAGGGCAGATTTGAGGGGAGAAAAAAAAGACAGAATGGCTACTTTAGGACAGCGAGAGGGCATGTTCAGTTCTCAAACAGCCACTGGGCTGAAGCAGTGAAGATGTCTGAAGACAAGCAAGTCTTTGCAGTTCAGCTTTGCAATTGCTGATGGGGGCTGAGGCTGGAGCTGGGGAGGTGATACTGTGTGCAGTGTATGGGCCGCACACGATCAGCCTCTATCCCTCAGGTGGTCCCCACAAAAGTACTCCTCTTTACCAAAAATCACAGACTTAAAATAGGGTAGGAGGGGGTGAGCATGAACTCGGCATTCCTCGGGTTCCAGCCCCAGCACCTTAAAAAAAAATTAATTAAAAGCATCCACATCTAGGACTGAACCAGGTGCCAGTGGTAAAGAACAGGAGCCCTAAATAAAAAGGAGGGTTTTATCCAGGTGCGGTGGTGCACACCTGTAATGGTGGCTTGGGAGGATGAGGCAGGAGGATCACTGAGTTTGAGGCTAGCCTGAGCTACATAGTGAAACCCTGTTTTCCAAAAAAAGGCAAGGGTAAGGGCTGTCTGTGCAGAGCTCTTAATGCACTGACCAGAACTTAATGCAAGTAGACCATACCATTCATAAATTTTGGTGACAGCACCATCAAACTTACACAGATTTCAGTTTGTTAAATGTTACCCCTTTACTGATGACAATGACAAGATATTTCTGATTCTGACAATCAGAAAGGTGTGAATTATGTCCTGGTATGCTGGATGATTTTTCTTTTCTGAACGAAGCCTTCTTTTTACTGGAATTCATTAAAGTTATCGTTCTCATTTATGAATCTGATGATGTTTGAGGAGGTACAAATCATTTATTTTATTTATAAATGTTCTACTGCTCTTTATTAATTTCATTTATTCTAAAATTTATTATTTTTTACTTGACTATAGAAGTGTTTTATAAATTGTGTTTTTCTTAGAGTTGTATTCTTTCTGTAACTGTGAATGAAAATCATCTGTGATATCTTATGAGGTAGTGGCCTTGAACTCACTATGTAGCCCAGACTGGCCTCATCCTCCCAAGCCCTGGGAATACAGGTGTGCACCACCTCACCTGGCTAAACCCTTGCTTTTAATTAGGCCTCCTGGTCTTTACCATTGGCACCTGGTGCAGCCACCAGCAAAGCTATTCTAAGTATATCATGATATATCATTGTAGGAGAATTGAATGAGTTTTGTTTTAGTTCTAGTTTAGTTCTAGACTAAACTACCTAGAGCTAGTTAGTTCTAGTCTAAAACATTGTTACTTTACGGAAAGTTGAATTTTAAATATTGACTTTCTCCCAAAGTTATTTTAAAATCTAATAAACAATATGCATGTAACTTGTCCAAATGGTTTGAAAAAATAGTTTAAGAAGCTCTTTTGACATTAACGATAAAATTGCTAATTTGTTCTAGGGAGCATGTCATCTCTTTTTATGTGACAGAAGCATAGGTGTGTTCAGTACACACACACATACTCCATAATACACACGTACTCCTCCTGCACACACCACACACACACACACACACACACCACACTGCATATGCACACACAGCACACATAACATGTATATATCTATATATCTACATACAACATGTATATATCTATATATCCCACAACCGCAGCACACACCATATGAGATATATCCATATAACACACCACACATAGGGCATACACATGCACACATGCACTTTCTCCCTTCACAAGCTAAAGATAGACAACTTGTGATGGTTTTGGAAGGGGACTGCTTTCTTTCTCATTAGAAAATAGCAAATGTCATGTTTCCAGAAATACCCAATGACCTCATCCACTTCTTTTATATTCATGTTTAAGAACAAAGTCATTCTGAAAGATAAGCTATTAGTAAAACTACGGTCCTATAAATTTCAGACTTGTATTCCTCTGCCTCCCCATGAAGTTTTACCTTTGAACAGAGGTCATGTTCTGAAGAATGCCTGATT